TTCTACTCTCTATCCTCCCCACACCCAATGTCTTATCAGATTGACATTTCCAGAGTCTTTTGGGAATACCAAAACACTTTTAGGACAGAGGTGAGTCCAGAAATGTCCCACAATCCAAAATTCTTCCAAGGCTCAGTTTTCCTGCTGGAATATACAGATGTATGTCATCTACTTCTCACTGTAATTATGATCACAAGCTTGGAAAGAAACACTTGGAAAAAAGAGAGACAGGGAAATAGATTGTGTTGCTGGGAAAAGGGGCAAAACAACAATATCTTTAGCACATACAACTTATTTGTCCTTCCAGAATAAAAATTTTAACTATGAAGCACAAACAGCAGACAGTTCCATCAAAAACCTGACTTTCTTAGAGAGCGAAGAACTTTCTCCCAAGCCAAATACCATGTGCTGTATATGCATAAAGACAGCTTCTGCTACAGTATATGCCTACAGATTTCACAGTTGCATATGACCGCCAAAATCTCAACTTCTAGCAGCAAAAAACGTATGTCACCATTATTTAGCCAAGCATCTGAAGATGGAAATACATCCTAGCTGCTCATTTTGCTGGAAAAGCAGTGCTTTGCTTTATATACCTAACCTACTTGCCTAATCAACTGATTTTATTATAACTGTTAGAAATACCCAAATGTATCTGGGAAACTTTAAAAAATAAAGAAAACCCAAAGGCACACACCTTCCCTTTTCCTTCTTTAAAATGTTAAGCTTCCACTCTTGCACAACACTGCCCACCAGAAGACTGAAAAATCTTAAGGCTTCAAACTGCAACAAATCTGTATTTTGATAGAGGAATGGAAGGAAAGAAGGTGAGGAGAAGGGGAAATAAAACTTCCTGGGTCATTCTAACATTTAGATCTAATCTGTTTAATCAAGAATAGTAACTAGAATAGTAAGGAAGTGACTGGAAACTTTCTATTTATTTTACAAGCAATTTAAGAGATGTCTTTCAAGAGAAGAGCTTGGTTAGGGTATGAACTGCAGACTACAAGCACAAGCTTGAAATTCACCATCCAGCCTGAAAGGCTGTACGCAAGAAGGCACCAAAGCAAGCTCTGGTTTACATCACACAGCAGGGCAGTAACTGACCATGAGTCACTGATGCACTTCATCTGGCTTTTAAGGCCATCAGCACCAGATAAAGATGCTTTAGGACACATTTTACAAACCACTTTGCAGTATAAGTTTGCCTGGCAGTTCAAATCCGCACAGAATTTTCTAGACAAAATTTATTCATGGCAAAGCTTCCAAGATGAAATATGTTCTGTCCTGCAGCTGGCAAGATATTAGTGCAGCTCTCTACTGTAATGACTGGGCTAACTGAACAGGAGTCTTCCCGTGGGCTAAGCCAAAAGGGGATGAGACAGGATGAATGATTTCTGCTACCACAGTCTGGGCTGCAAGTAGTACCCAGCCCTCACAATACCCTAGGCAGCACCACATAAAACCATGTGTATGCCAAACAGAGGAGAAAAGACCAAAACCCCTGGAAAACGTGATTTTGAAATATCAACTCATGATTGAAGTTATTTTTCCTTCTTCACTAAAGTTTGAGATTTAAGTCTTCTCCATATCAGAGTAAAGAATTAATACCTGTGACATTCATGAAATGAAACTCCAAAAAAAATCAAAGGTTGTTATAAAAAGCAAGAGAGGGCAGGCTTATTGTTAAGTTAATGAAGTACTTAAAGACCTTAAGCAGTGGCAAAGTCCTGATTTAAAGTGGGACATGGTTAAGGCTTTGCAAATTGAGAACTCTGGAAGAACCTGTCATCCTCTCCTAAGGTGCAATACAGCTTTGACAGGCACATCATTTTCCTGAATACAGTTATTGAATGAGAAATACTAACCTCAGAGATCTCAAAGGATTTGAGAGAGAAAAAAAATCTAAGACCTGAAACAAACACAGTCCTGAAATGCTCTACAAAAGCCCAAGAACTGTGAACTTGACTTATAAATGGAAAGAAAAATACAATTAGGGCGACAGCTAAGTTATTACAGACATGGTGTTTAACATACAGTGTCACCCACCCAAAACGTTAGCTAGTAGCAGTATCACCTTTCCTTTGGAGATGGCTCAGGTTGATACAAATAAAAACGGAAAATTGGGAAATGATGAGGGAAATAAAAGTTCTCAAAAAAAAAATCAGTGTGAAATAGTCATTCTAGATGCACTGATACAAAACATCTGAAAAAACCTGAATGGAGGTAGGATTCCTCTTTTAACAAACAAGAAACTTGAAAATTATCTTTGCCCAAATGTAGTTAAGAAGAATGGGCAGAGAAAAGCACAGCATTAAAGGCAAAAAACAAAACACAGCAAACTGTGGCCCACTGGACAGCCTGATCTTTTGTTGCCTTTTCCCTGCCCTGCCTCTCCCTCTCCTTTCTGACTGCCTCCTTCAACATTTCCAAACTGAGGAGGAGTATTTGTTCCCCATCCTCCACCTCTACTGAACCTGCTCTAGTCCAACACATGGGCAAGAATTTTCTCTTGCTTTGGTTCTCAAATTTCACTGTCACATCCAGCCTCTCCCCCCAGAGCTTTTCACCGGAGGACTACAGTCTGCATGACTGCATTTGATAATACAGACTCTGCTGCTTAAATACTGTACCTCTGCAGACAGTTAAAGCATGTTTTACAAAGGTACCATAAAGGGGCTCAGGACCACACACTTCCTGGGTGTGCAAGCCTGCAGCAGCTGGAAAGGGACCCTGTCCAACACAGGACTGTTTCCCTCTCCTCACTAGGATGAAAAGGAGCACACAGTGACAAGGCCTTTGTGCTGGAGCCCTTCCCAAGTGACAGCTTCAGAGCAATGATCTGTCTGACATGTTGCAACTCAGGAAGCATGTACAGGAAAAGGAGGAGGGGAGCAGCAGGCAGGGATTCCCCTCCAAATTTCCAGTGCTGTGCAAGAGGGACAAACAGATGTATCCAGCCAGAGAGAAATAGCTGTGCACAGCCCCTCAGGTGATCCTACTGAACTGAGCAGTGGCATATGCTGGGAGGGAGACAGTAACAAGAAGCGATGCTCACAATCCTGCAAAAGAGATCTAAAGCTTCCCTCAGCCCCCAGACCAGGGAGTTTGAAGGCATTCAGAAACAGTACAAAAACTCAGCTGGAGCTATGAATCCTTACAGAATCCTTCCTCCACACGTGCAGCTCAGCCAAGCCTCCCACATCTCAGTGTGCCCCAAAATTTTGTGTTTCAAAGGAATTTGAGAGCCTTTGCTTGTTTGGGAGAAAACACGTTCAGAAGTCACAAGGCAGCTCCTGCAGGTTCCTCTCAGCATGCCACAGCATCAGTGGTAAAGGCAATGCCTGCCTGCAACAGGCAGCTGCATTCTTTAGTCTGGCACCAAGGAGGAAAGCTATCATCCATTTCTAAGTTAGATTCAGGGAACCAGCTGGGGACCAACGATTGCCATTTCTGAAGTGCACAAAGAGGAGTGTAACCAGCTTTTCCATAGTAACGAAGATTAGCGGCCTTGAGTCTGACACTCCTGCTGCATTAAAAGATAGGAGACAAAGAGAGAGACAGGTAATTACATAGAAGGAGCCCTGGGGAAATTGCAAACTCCTTGAGAACCCTTTAGCTGGTCTGTATGTTTCTCCTTGTCTCTGCTTCAGCTGAAGGTCCCCAAGAAACACTTGCCCATTAGATCATTAGCTTTATTGCAGAAAGTAGCCAGACAGCTGGTAGCGGCTGTTCAATAAAGACTTAGCTTGCCTCTGCAGCAGCAAGAATGAGATGGAGAATAAGAAAAAGAACATCCCAAGGCACATTACCTGTCTGGAGCTTATCCTTGATACATTAGTGTACTTAGTCAGCGTGAGGGTCTGACAAATGAACTCTGACAAATCTTGCTGGGGCAATTTAAGACACTATTGCATCGCACTGTCTTTCAAAACCCTTCACAAATGTTAGCACCATCAAGCAATCTAGCAGGAAAACTTCCATCATGCACTGGCCTCTCCAATTCAGAGCCTAGCAAGTTAGCATAAATCCCTTCTCAGTGCTGGATTAAGTTAAGATGTCAATTCTAACCAGAGTGGTTGAGGTCTAGACAGAAGATATTTCCTCCACTACAAAGAGCATTAACATCTATCACAAAGATGGAAGAGGAAATGACATCTCAAAGCACTACAGCTCCTAAGCATATACAAATCTTTAATATTAAAATACATATGCAATTTGTCTAGCAACAAACTTGAGTCTACTCCTGCAGCTCACGATGCTCTATGAATCAGCACTAATTTTTTGGACTTGATATATCCCCGACACAAACCGAATGCCTTGCAGTGAAAAGATGGACATAGATTTTCCTATCACCACATAGCTACAAAATTAAATTCCTCTCACACACCACATTTTGCACTTCTGTCCAAAACTGAAAGCAGTCCAGATAGTTAAAGACTTGCCATGCATTTCACCATTCAGAACTAGAGTTGGGCTTCCAGATAGCTCCTGTCTTATCTGTCAGGGATACAACCAGCCACAAAACCATGACAGACACCAGAGAAGACATCAGGTTTAAAAAACTAACCAGAACAACTACTAAACCAATCCCTATTTGCCCAATCAGAAGTACGTGTGTGATAATAACAAAAGAAGCACTTTGAGATTCTTCAACTTGCCTTCTCCAGACCTAACTCTGTCTTTCCATCCAAGCTGATATTCAGGCAAAGATTTAGTTAATCAGTCTGCAATACAACAGTTTTACTTTTTTTCCTCTACAAGTATTTAAAATATATCTCATCTTCTAGATTTTCTCAAGGGACAGTATCCTACACTTAGTAGTAGAGCAAGAAGAGCACAAAGCTCCTGTTTGCATTCCAGTGCTAGAAGGGCAACCCACATGAACCAGAAGTTTGGCTAAACTCCATGAAGACAAACTTCTTCTGCCATCACCTGTCCTTCCAGAAGGAGCAGAGCAGGCAAGACACCTTGAAAAGCAGATAACAATTACCCCTTACCTTTCTGAAGAGGCCGCCGCCAATTAGCACATTCCTGGAGCTTCTGAATCAGGCAAGAAGAAAGGAGGGGAGGGTGGGGAAAAAAAAAAGGGGGAGGAGAGAGCTGTTTTCTTCCTCAGCACAACAGTATTTCCTGAGGGGAGAAGAAAAGAAGTAGAAAAAAGGAAATAAGCATTAGCTTCCATGATTTTCAAAGAGGCTACTGATTACAACTCTTGCTTCACAGAGCTACTGTGCCACTACTTCTGCACTTCCAAAATACCAGTTTAGGGTGTCCTGTATTTTCCCCATTGTCACCTTACCAAAACAGGGACTATGAATGTCAACCATGACTAAGAAAAGCAAAGCGATTCCTGTCAGAATGTGAAAAAGCCCCATACTAGAATGGGTTAAAGTCCAATTCAAAAATATTCTGGAGCACTTATTCTATTAAGTAAACAAGCTTCAGCCAAGCTCACACCCACTTCTGTAAAAATTCAAATGAGCCACATTTACTATCAAAATAGTTGGCAAAAGGCAAATTCCAACATGCATACTGAACATACAGGTATATACCAACATTCAAGTGCTTATGTACTCTGCTCTGAGAGGATCATACCTACAATTATGAGGTATTTGCAATTAATCATAAGTTCTGTTTCTTTTTAAGACAACTTCTCTTTTTCTTAAGACAATCTATTCCAACTATATCAAATCTTTCAATAACAGCAAGAGTAATCATTTGTGTGGGGTTTTTCCAAAGCAGAATGAAGGGAAAAGGATCTAACAACCCTTTTGACTAAAGGTACCACTTTGAAATTGAGCTTCACTCCCATAAAACCACAGTTCCTCACCTCAGACCATCTCCCTGTCTCTGCCCTACTCCTAACATGACTTTAAAGAAGCTTAGAGACACAGAGATTTAATGGGCCCCTCCCTACCTCCAGTACCTGCCTCTGATGAAAGGCAGGAAAATCAAGTGGAAAATTATTTTAAAGCATGAATGCAAGACATTAACATCTTTGAGGAAATGGCAATCAAGGTTTTCCACAGGGAATGAGCAAAGGGAAACACATCCAGTCTGTTCTCCATCACACTTTGTTGGCTTATATTACTACAGAAAAACTCTACCCTTTTCTCTCTAATGGAAAATCTGAACAAGTTCTCAAAATAAGGAAAAAAGTCTATGCTACCTTACATTTCCACACACATTTCTGCCACCCCTCAAAAAAACAATTAAACCCATCTGCTAACAGCATACAGATCCTAGTCTCATGGAAAACATTTGAATTAAGGAGCCCCAACAGATAGGGTACAACATAAAAGGCAGCACTTCTATCACAGCATCTCCCTCAAAGCCACCACGTCTGTCCAATTCTAAATGGCCACAGTTCCTGCATTTCTCTAGGGGACAAAAGCTCTCTTTTTCTCTCCTCCTGTCAGCAAGACTTAAAGCTGCAAGAGTAATTCTGTCCAGATTCCCCTCTAGATAGGCAATGATTTAAAGAATTCATGAAGTGGCAGTGTAAATAAACAATGAAAAACTAAATAAAGATCACAGAAGACAACACACAGAAAATGTGCACTAAGGAGAGAAAGAACAAGCTCAGTGATTCAAAACCTCTTCTGCCTTGTTATGGGCACCCATAAATAGGCACAGCAATAATTTGACAATGTGAAAGAATGGATCCTGACACAAAAATGTAGCTACTTAAAAACCTGCCTCCTCAACCCTCTGCCTAAAGGCAAACCTTCCCACAGTGTTTAATTTCACTTTCTCAATTTCTTACCCCTCATCAGTTGCATTTCTGCTTTCCGTCAGCTTTCACCAACTCATACTAATTGATGCAAAGCAACTTAAGCCGAAACCTGGAGAGCTCAAATCAGGTTTTTTTTGTTTGTTTGTTTTGTTTGGTTTTTTTTTTTTTTAAAGGAAACAGTGCTACAGCCCTAACTGTGGGGATGGGAGAAGAAATGACCCTTAGTGAATTGCTCCTGACACGTGTACATCCCCAGGCTATGTGCAAATCAATACTTACTGAGCAGCTCAGCACAGATCAGGTTGCAAAATACAAGAAAAAAAAGAAATTGTATCACCCCCTCAAACATACATTATTTTTGCATCCCTAAATCAAATGAATCATTTGCTTTTCTTTTTCATTATCAAATCAAAAGAATGCTTTTGACAGTATTTTTCTCCCTGCTAAGAACCCTCCCCCCTGCCCTCCCCCCCCCAGATCTCCAGTAAAGTCTGTTAAGAATTCAAGTACTGGTTTTATTTAAAGTGCTTAAAATTTTGCACTTGCATTCTGTTACCAGTAAGAGGAATAATTTAGAGTAGACATAGAAGATTTGAAGAAAGCATATTTTCAAATTGAACATAAAAACAAGAGGTGGCAGAAAGGCAGTCTTAGTGCAAAAAACCAAAGTTTTTAAACAACATTCTCAGGCAGACAGAAATCTGTCTCAAGTACCATTTAAAGACATAGGTTTGACTTGCTCCAAAGAAAGTGAGATTGGTCTGTTCTCAAATCCTCAGGCAAGAAAAAATGTACAGTGAAATAACGCATTAGCCAAAAGTCAAATCCTAAGTGGAGAAACCTCACAAAATGATTTACAAAACCAAAAGACTTGACTAAATTTCTGGCAGGGCCAGAGATAATTCGTATGAATAAAATGTCAAAATGTTTTGGGTATACAGCCACTGCAGGAAGGAAACAAACAGAAAACTGGGAAACACTGTATCAAAACCCAACAAATCGTTGACATCAACATTAGATAAATGACTAGGCATATGTTGAGTCAAACACCCTCAAGATGGTGTGTGAGTCAACTCCTGCAATGAATTTAGCAGAGCTGCTTTCCTCCATCAAGCTTAATAAAAATAATCCTCAATGATTCCAGCTAGGTCTGGGTTCTCATTAAATCTCACACGATGCATGCCCATTCTGGACAGTACCTGAGCTGGAGCAGGGAGACCACAAGGCAATTTTGACTAATCTTTTCTAAATGATGATACCAGATTTATTCTTAGTGCTGCACAACAAAGGTGGTGTTTTTTCCAGGCATTACCCAAATGTAGCCCACTTCCTGTGGAAAATGCAAAAACCCTACAGGACATTTGCAGGTTCTAGGTCTTAAGTGATCCAGACAATTTTTACATTCATAAAGTAAAATTTTGGGAAAGTAATGCCCCTCACTTCCAATCTGCACAACATGACTGGTGAAGATCTTGTTGACCTTATCCTGTCTGACACCTACAAGGAGCCCCCATCAGCCCTTAGAGCAATTCCTGTGTCAACAGAAGCTCCCATGGTACGCAACCAACCTGGATGATTTTCTGGTTTATTGCATTTTCTAGCTCCATGATGGCTACTAACTGCATTACACCGAGGAATTAGATCAGAGAACTGCTGTATGCAACAGAACCCTCCCCAAACCTTGTACATAACATGAGGCAACTCAAGGTTTAAATCAAAGTGGGCATCATCACCAGCACCTCTTAAAATTTACAGAGAAAATCAAGAAGTGTTCTCAAGGTTCTCCAATCTACATTTAACAGCTATTCTTCAGGTGAATTTTAAGTACACTCAGAGCGTACTAATATCGGTCAAGTTTGTATCACAGCAAAAAGTTATTTTCTTTCTTTTTCTGTTGATTTTTAACATTTTGCTCTAGGAGAGGTAATAAAACAACTATTTCCTTAACACCTATTGAGGGAAGTAGCAGTCTCCATTTCTTACTGAAAAAAACAAACATGCAAGCTAAGAAAAAAGAAGATTAAAATACCTACTCTGAAATAGCATGATGAAACTGAACAAAACCTCTCAGCCTTGGGTTATGAAGCCAGGAACCTCTCCTGCTTCTGAATCAGGTTTTTTCTCCAAGCTGTTTTCTACTATCTACAGCTGGCACAGAATCAGATTAAATAGAACTCACATGTTTCATTTCATGAAGAGACAATATAATGTTTACCTACAGCAACATGAGAACAAGCTGGAAATTAGCAAGTTCTCATTTATTTTAGTATGAATTAAAAGCATATCCCTATTATCCATGCATATGTGTGTGTGCACATGTCTCACACATCCACCAGGGTAAGCCTTCCACCACAAACACCTGTACTGGAGACATTTGTGAAAACAAGAAGCTTCTTCAAACATAAATACTATTTTCCCAGAACTGTATCTGCACAAAGACAGGAAGCTCTACTCAAAGCTCTTCTCAATCTATTATAATTGTATCTATTACAAAAAGCCAAGAAAAAGTAACGAAAACATTGTTGCAGAAGCACAGACAAAGCATAAAAACATGCTAAGAGTCAATGAAAACACAGGTCTCCTAAATAAATTGTGCTTTCATTTGCCTTAGTGAGCTCATGGCATCCACCACCAAAAGATATCTAAGTAAAAGATTAGACTTTACTGACATGAAATATATTTCCTAAACAAGCATTGTAATTTTTATTAATTTGAACAAACTTTAATTCAAATGCCTAACTTCATTTCTATATCTTTGAATAGAGGTGTTCACACAATGGTTCCCTATGGCTTTAATGTTACAGCTATCTGTATTTTCCCATCTGCTTTCCTTGGATCCTGAAAAGCTCTTCCCAAAATGACATTTGTCCATGCAAAAAATCTGTGCTTTCTGAAGCACTATTCACATGCATGCATTTAGGTAACATGCCTATTAAAGCATTTAGGTAACATGCCTATTAAAGCATACCAACCTCTGTATGACATTTACCTTCCAGTCTAACTGCAATGACCCCACCAAGAAGGAAAAAAATTATTTTATTTTCCCTTAATCATCTGAAAAGGTACCTACCCAGCACTAGTAAGATTTGTACCTCACATTTTATATGCAAAGTCTCAAGGACCAAACTCAGTGCACTGAAGCATAATGAGAGATACTAGTCACTTGAAAAATTTAGTCTCTTCCAAAGAAACAGTGTGGGAATAATTTTGCCAAGCATTTATTTCTCCCTTTTAAGCTAGATCTAGAAGGAAGCAATATCTTTGTCTACAAGCCTTGCCCCTCAACCTTCCCCTGGGTGACAGGATGCTGACAAGCCAGCTAAAATAACTGGTGGAGTGGGGCCCAGGAGCCAGGACATAGGGGACAGGAGAGACAGGTGCTTGGGCACATCTG